GATCAGCCCGGCCGCGACGGCGTAGCAGTACGTCTCGTACGTCATGCGGCTGCGCTTCCACCACGCGTAGCTGGCGACGGCGCCCATGAGCGTCGCCGTGCTGTACACGGTCTGCGGGATCACAAAGGCCACCCCCACGGCCATCCAGTTGGGCAGGTAGTCGCGGTACTTTTCCCGCTCGCCCTTGAGGTAGTACTGCTTGAACACGACCTGCACGATGGCGATGGCCGCCAGGACGCAGGCGAAGATGCCCGACGACGACGGGATGTCGAGGCTGTCCTCAGTGACGGCCTGGGCAACAGCGCGCCAGGCCGTGACCGTGGGCGCCGAAAACGCGCAGTGCGAGTACTCGTCCGGGTGGAGAATACACGGGTAAGCTTGACCGTATAAGATGAATACTCCAGGTGCAATTAGCATGGCAAAGATTGCCCCAACCGCTAGAGAATTGGTCAGTCATGTGTATTCAGGTAGTCTGAGAGCAATCCGGGATATTGGATGTCTCAAAATGGACAACGGACGAAACCGTGTCCGAATCGCATCTCGAAAGACATGTCAGGGGGGAAAGAACGGGGAGTACATACCTTGCGCATAAAACTGCTTCTTTGGCGGCGTCTTGAGCAAGTACCCCGTCCGCAGATCCGACGTCAACTCTTGAGACATCTCAGCGGCTCCCGAGGCAATGCTTCCCGCTACAAGATTGACCGTCTGCTGCTGTACCACCGCCAGACCCTGGTTCGAGGTGATGCCGCCAAAGACGAGCTGCGCGGCATTGGCGCTCGCCGTCAGAGGGGCAATATCCGTCACTCCGGCGCCGTGGATGCCCAGGAAGGCGAAGAAGACGGCGAATATCGAGGCCAGCAGCGCCAGCCCGGCATTGACGTTGAACTGCACCTCGGAGATGATACAGGCGACCACGACCATGGCGATTGTGCCACCGCCCCAGACCCATGTGGGCACTTGATCCTCCTTCGAGGCAGGGTCCTCGTGCGTGAACACGTTTTCGTTGAACATGGTGGAAGGCCGGCGACGAGACGACTGGCTGGTAAGGTAGCGGCCGCTTCTTCCACCCTTCTTCTGCATGAAGTCCCATGACGAATTCTTCCAGGCATACTTGATGCCGTAGTAGAAGCTACGCCAGTGGACGAGCAGCTCTGCCAGCGAACAGCAGACGAGCACGGCGACTCCCGGCCAGAGGAACCAATATCGTGGAGACGGCACGTATCCTGGCTGGTCAACGCCCGTCATCTGGGAGAATGACACGACATTGTGCCAGCGCTCGCTGTCGGGTGCCTGGGCGATGCCGATGCAGATGCCGTAATGCACCAAGATCGGGCCCAGAATGCCCCAAGCAAACAGTGTGCCGCAGAACATGGACACGGCCGTGTTCATGCCGACCAGCATACCGCTTCCGATGAACGCGGGTGTCCACTCGATCGACCAGCCCCAGTTCTCGACGAATATCGCTGCGTTGTTGTAGTTGCCCCAGATGAAAAACCATGTGAATATGTGCCAGTCGTATAGGATACCGATCGCATAGTAAGAGACGACGCGCTGGACGAATGCGCCCAGGAAAGTAAACGAGAGTGCCTTGATGCGCCTGATGGCTTGTAGACCTTCGCTGCTCGCGGCGTGCATCGACTGAATCGTCAGAGCCGTGGCGGTTCTTGAATGCTGGTTAGAATTGGGAAGTGGTCAGGCAGTGGGATGGGGGTTCGGAAGACATACGGAGTCGGGAACACGAGGCGCAGCTCTCTAGCCATGTTCACGATGAAGAACTTGCGAAGCGGAATGGCGAAACAGAGTCCAAAGAAGGAGCATATCAAAGTCAAGGTGACCATTTTCGGAAAGTCGTTTGATGGATCCTCAGACAAGAGGCCGAGCTGGTACATGGCAGGTAGTCCGGCAGTGAAAAGGCCTCCAAGTCCACCAGCGCCAGCCGCCGTGGCCTGGATGATCGAGTTCTCCTTGGGACCAAATGGTTTGCCCAGAATCGGCACATTGGGAAAGACCTTGGTCAGCAGCTTCACGATACCGTAGCCGAATATGGCGCCAAACATGGATGCGCCGAACAAGAAGCCCGTCTTGAGGCCAAGGTAGATATTCGAAGCGTTGACGAGGGAGCCGAGTATCACACCGACAACAAGGGCGCGGGTGGTGAGCGGATCGCCCTCGTCCGGAAGGCCTACAATGTCCGGCAGCGGTTGGTAGAGGTCGAGCACCGCCGGCAGGGCTTCATCGGTGAACGACTTCTCATCTTCGATTGGCAGCCCCGACTCGACCCTCTCCGGCGCCGACATGGCGTCCGGGGGAATATCCTCAGAGTGCCTCGTTTCCTGCATCATTGATTTCTACTCGAGGTTCGAATTGCGAGGGCGTCGCAAAAGGAGTGTTGTAGTCCGCAAAAGCATGTAGGATCAACTGGGGTCTCGAACTTATAAGATCGGCGGGTGCGTGCGGGCCTGTGCTAAATTTCGCCCAGCTTCTCAGCACCCTGCATGTTCCGCAAGAGGTATTAGAGAGAGGCAGAGCAGACAGCTGACTGAATGACTGATTCTCTTGACCATGAGCCGGGGTTATGGTGGGTTCCTAGAACGAGGGTGACGACCAATGAAGCCAAGTTTTGTGGTGACGTCGGAGTCAAGAGTCAAGAAGGAGGAAGAAAAGGCATCCGTCGCTCGGGGATAGACGGCCTTTCAAACTGCCTGAAAGTGGACACTGGGCTCGGCGCGCAGTCATGAACCAGGGGCCACCCGCGGCGCAGTCTGCGTCTGGGTGTAACTGGAGATAGAAAAGAGAGGCTGAGAAGGCTCAAGGCCGAGCTTTGTGCGACCGGGGGAGGCAAGAGGAGATGCCAAGTCTCTGGTTGAAATATGAATTTGCTGGGCGCCGCGTTGGACGGAACTCGGCACGGCGTTGGCCGTATAAGTGCTCTCTCATTCTAGCGACCAGGTGCCGTGACCCGGCCCTGAAAAGCGGATCTCTGCAGGCCTTGGCGCTGTTCTGATGCCGCGTTTCCGTGTAAGGCTGAATCCAGTCTACTCATAACCCGTCCAGACTCGAGTGGGTGCTGGTAAATGGTCTTTATGTTTCTCGATCGAGGTCTACGATGATTATGTTATTCACCATTGACCACATTGAACTCTGGCGATGGCGCCAGAAACTCCACCTGAGAGTTTTCCCCGGAAAATTGGAAAGCGATGGGCTGGAGTCTGTCGAGAAGAGACCCCTGTGGGGGTCAGTCAGCATTCAGCGGGTGTGTTTTCCTGCAGCCGTGTCCCAAAACTGGTAGGCCGTCTGACGAGTTGCAGTCTGGAGATGCAAGACGAGGATGAAATGACTTTGCTTCCAGACCCGATGTACCTACTGACGGATGGATATTGATCTCGCATCTACACTATTGTCTTCGGAGCCATCCGCTTCCCTGTCGCTCTTTTGCAGATCCAGACGCAATCCAACTGGGAAGGGGCCAGGAGATACCCAACCTTGCAGAAAAAAGCACTTCGAATTGGGACACTTTCATGTCAAATAACCCAGCGAAAAGTTAATTTTTCGACATCGGGCGGCTGCCATGATCCAAAGGGTTGCGCAACTCAATTGCGTCGCTGATCATAGACGCGCGTCTGTCACTAAGCATGAAGTAGCGCCGAGCCCGTTGAAATCCAGCGGCTGACTCATATAGATCGTCGTTCACATGTTCCAATTGACAGAATACCCAACGGAGGACGGGCACAGGAACTATCGGCAACGAGAAGCCAGATTTAAACAATCATAGAGCTGACGGCAGAAGCGTTGCAAAGCAAAAATATAGGCTCACACAGCCTGCAAGACGCCATTGGAGCGATAGGGGCAATATACCTCATGAGCCCGTCTCGGAAGAGGGCTACATATTCGCAGACGTTCTCGCCAAGCCCTGGGCCGCGGACGTCATCCAGTGCATGTTCGGCTCGGGGTCGGTGCCGCGCTTCCACAGCACCGACACGGCGTTCCGGGCGGGCGGCCGGCAGCCTCTCCACATCGATGCAGATTCCAACTTTCCCGGGATCCCGTTCGGGTACCGTGTGAATATCGACCTGGTGGACACATCAATCGAGAACGGGTCCACGGAAGTATGGCTGGGAAGTCATGTAGACACGGATGTCGGGGCCTTGAATAAGGACAGAGTCACTCGCCGCGAACTTCTCGAATAGCGCTGCAGGATGAGCTTGGCGATGCAGTCCTCGCTCCCTAAGAGCTCACTGGTGATTCGCGACTTCAAGTTGTGGCGTGATGGAATGCCGAACAAGACGGATGATCCCAGGGTCATGCTCGCCTTGATCCAGTTCCCGCACTCGTACCGCAGCGATCTCAAGACGAGACTGCCGGTGAGCGTCAAGAATAAGACCGAGTGTGGCCATGTAGTCCAGTCTGCTGAGTGGATGCCAGATGGATATGATTATCTGCAAAGTGTACACGGTCACGCTTTTACTCTTCAGCTAGAAGCTTTTCAAGGACTGCAAGACCTGAGATGGCATTTGCGTATTAGGTTCCGCTGAGCAAGGCAAACTCCACAGCAGCCATCATTTGTTTCTTCATTTGCCCGTCACAGATCTTGGGGATGCTCACTCATGTTTGACTGCCAACTCATTATTATCTTTTTCTTTCCGCAAATGAGCCATCAAGTACTTTGCAGAGCAGAGGCGCCACGCCACCAATGGATGGCTTGACCTGCCCCGTCCGTCCATTTAGGATTCTTACCAGGGCAAGGAATGAACGAAATAAATGACTCTGAAATATTACAGATCCAAGCACTGATAGCTTGATGAGAAATCACATATGCACGAGTATCACGTACGGAACGTTGGGGTTTTGATGAGAATCAACTGTTCTAGATGCATCCTCAATCCCGTCAGGGTCTGGGAAGAACTCGTATAGAATCGTCAAGGGGAAGCAACAACTGGCTTCAATCATGAACATGGTCGTAGAGTGAAGCTGACAAAAACAGGTGGAAAAAAAAAAATAAGCTCCGATGCAGGGGTTCGAACCCTGGCCGTCGCGGTCTTCTGTGCCTGAGAGGTTCTGAAAACGCGAAATCCTAAACCACTAGACGACATCGGATGCTGTTGTTGAAAGGAACTGTGTTTGTTTCGCATTACACGTCGGGGTTTGAGGTGCCCGTTTGCACAGGCAGGTGCGGCAGGCGCGGAAAGGGGCAGCATGCAAACGGGCGACTTGAGGGAAGAGGACCGGCGTGTCATTGTCGACGAGTCACAACTGTATTGATTTGTACTCGAAAGAATTTCCATGCGCAGATTTGCACATGAAAGTGCTGCAATCATTCAAACTTCGTTGTATACGCCTGGTCCGTCCCGTGATGAAGTGATTGGGCTCATTCGAAGCGGCGTGACAACACAAGACAGGACACAAGAACATCACATATGCAATGGGCTCTGGGCATCATTCGATAACAACTCATCTAAACCAAACTATAAGCATATACATGTCTTTTCTCGTTTGCCCCTCCGAGTTCCTTACTAATAACCTGTCGGCTAAGCATCATTGCGGCCACGGAAAGGTCCAGTCACAGCATCTGCGCTGAATTGCATTCCGAAATACCAATAACAGCAGATGATATATGCCACCGTTTTGGGTACTGTGTGGTTCCTCAACAACCTCTTCTCGCTGGCTGCTTCCTCCCGGCCATTTCAGCGAACATATATCCCTTCCCTAAAGAATGACTTACACTTCAAAACCAACATTTTTCATCCCGTGAGGATACCAATCCCGATGAATTCGACAAGTGTCAGCCGGAAACTGAAAACCCACGATCACGGAGTTCCAAAACGTTAAAACAGGAAGCAGAGTAGGTTTTCAGCGATTCTGGGACTCCTGTCGTGACAGAACCAAGTCGAGTAGAACTCTGGACTCACGCACTCATGATACTCTGGGCATCACAGGGTTTTACCGAATATACATTTAGGGCTTGTACATCACATCAAAGTAAATATTCTTCATAAATATATAGAATTGCCTTATCATATAGGTCTTGAGCAACATCTACAACGTCTATACGCGGTTACACATGAGACTTAAGACTTAGTCACTACTTCATATATACCACGACATGGAGCTAAAATGTGTCCACGATCCTTACATAGGTTCATGTTTATCTCAATTACGTCAATTCACTAAGCATGCGAATCTTTCTCGCTGATGTACTGTATGAAATGGGGTATATATTGTTCTAAAGGTATGTCCAACTAGATAAAAACACATCCAGCAGATTCGGCCAGTCAATGGTCTTGGTGATTATATATAACTCGCGGTAGTTCGCGAGGGCAATCATGAAACAATCTTTTTTTATAATCTTCGCACTCAGTTCGTAACTAGGCGAGGAGACGGTCTTGGAGAATATCCATATCTCTCATCACCTTTGTTCTTTCTCTGACAGACACCACATTTTAGACGGTCTCGGTAGGGCTCTTCTCGCCCGTCTTGAAGTTGTTGCTGTGGGTCTCGGCGGTGAAGGACTCGCCGGCGCTGATGTCGCTGGTGTGGCGCTGGAGCTCGACGTAGTCGTAGGCGAACTCGCCGAGTTGGCCGTCGTCGAGGCCAATGTCCTCCTCCTCGGGCGTGACGCGCAGGCTGAGGCCGGGGACCAGGTTCATCAGGAACAGGATCAGGCAGGTCATGACGAACGAGTAGGAGAAGCCGGCGACCGAGTCGGCGAGCTGGTAGCCGAGCTGGATCCAGTTGTGGTTGACCCAGCCGCCGGGGATGACGGAGAAGCCGTCGAGGTGGGTAATGTAGTCACTACGAAACTGTTAATATTTGTACACTCCCGTTTTAGAAGGCGGTAGAAACTCACGCGGCAAAGAAGGCAGTGCAGATGTTGCCGGCAATACCACCAATAGCGTGAACGGCAAAGATATCGAGCGCGTCGTCGACGCCAATCAAGAACTTGAGCTTGGTGGCAATGTTGCATACAACACCGCCGACGACACCGAAAACGACGGCAGCCCAGGGAGCAACGTAACCAGAGCCGGGAGTGATGGCAACGAGACCGGCAACGGCACCGGAGCAGAAGCCGACAGCGGACCACTTCTTCTCCAGGCGGTAGTCGAGAAGGCACCAGGTGATACCACCGACCGAGGCGGCAATGTGGGTGACGATGCAGGCCATGACGGCGCGCAGATTAGCAGCGAGGGCAGAGCCGCCGTTGAAGCCGAACCAGCCAACCCACAGGAACACGGTTCCGAGGATGACGTGGGTCACGTTGTGAGGTCGGTAAGGGAGACCGGCGGACTTGGAGTAGCCAGTTCGCTTGCCGAGCATGAGAGAGTAGGCGAGGGCTGCAGCACCCGAGGAAATGTGGACGGGAGTGCCACCAGCGAAATCGAGACCTCCCATGACGAAAGACCAACCAGTCGAGTTCCATGTCCAGTAAGCAATGGGGTCGTAAACGATGGTGGACCAGATGAGCATGAAGACGATGCAAGGAAGCATGCGGGCGCGGTCGACGGCGGCACCAATGGCCAGAGCAGGGCTTCATTTTCTGTTAGTACTTATGTCGATTCGTAATCGATAGAAAGGATATCCAGCTTACGTGATAGCAGCAAACATTCCCTGGAAGAGACAAAAGAGAATATCCGGGACCTTGGTGCTGCCGACCGAGGGAGCGGCAAGAACGTCCTTGAGGCCAAAGTTGTCGAGGTTACCGATGAACGGGTTGTTTCCGGTGTGTGTGAAGGCCAAACTGTAACCCCAGAAGAACCATTGAAACATGACCAGGGCTACCGACATCATCGACAGCCAGATCAAAGAAAGGGCAGACTTGCGGCGGGCAAGACCTGAGTAGAAGAATCCGACACCGGGAATCATAAGAAGCACGAGTGCAGACGAGGTCATGATCCAGGCAAAGTCGCCACTCTGTGAGTATAAAGGTTAGCCATTTCACTTACATGAAGATGTTGTATTCATGAACAGCGACGACATACCTCATAGAAGACGTTCAAGTCCTCGGTGAGCGAGTCACCACCCGTTGGGATGGTGCCATTGTACTCCTCGACATAGAGACCGGCCGACATCTTGTCAAGCTGTTGTGAGGCGTTGATCTAAGGCAGCGCTAAGCACGACCTTGAAATTGACACTTGCTCAAGGTGTCGTCTGCTTCACGACTTTGATATATAATAGCAGTCTTGAAAAAAAGAAAGGAGGGCGAGTAGGGTCAGCACTTGTGCGCGGGCTGGGGGGGATGTAGGCTAAATATGAGCAGAGACAAAGCTGGAGCTTCCCGTCTATCAAGAGGCTACCGGGCTGGAACAGAATAAGAGTAGCAACGGGGCAATCCTTCACCAGGGTTGCGGTCGCGGTCGCGGCCAGTCATCAAGTCTGACGGTAGCATAGTAGCAGCAGCAGCAGCAATACGTAGTGGTGGACTGAGTACATTATTGCATGGTAGGTACGGAGTAGCAGTGAAGGGACCCCTGTATACAAGTACAGGGGCTCCATAGGGCCCTTGGCGAATTTGACCATTGGCATTAGCTGGTGGATCCCGATATGACCATAAAGAGCAACGGTCCTCCGGGACGCTTCTGCTGGCTACTGCTGCTCTACTGCAGGGCCTGTGTACCTGTAAGCCTGGATGACTGGCAGGTTACTACAACAGCTTCGTGTATTTTCCAAGCCCGACCGGATGCAGGCTGGGTGAAGCTATTCGGCTTGGCAAACGTGATGTAGGGCAGTGCGGTGCATCTTGCGCTTGGGGCAAAGATGCTCGTGAGGGGCAACCTCGATCTGATGAGCGAAAGAGGCGCAATGAGCGACATGGCCGTGACCATTTCAGCGTTGATTGAGCCAAGAGAGAAGAGCTTCCTTCAAGGTTTCTAGGCATCTCACGGCAGCGCGGATGTCTCGTATGGGGGACGCTGGAGATAAGAAAGTCATGATAGTACGTACAGGATTCTGGAAGAGGCGCCGTTAGTGCGTTCCAGCTAGGTATCGTTTGGTGGTGGTATGCCCAATCGTGGCACGGGACGGCGACGAGATCGGAAGAGAGCTCGATCATTCTTCCTAAAAATCAGATATACTATCTGGATCGGTACTCATCGGGCTCGAATCCTTCGAGGGAGCCCCTCCGAGAATCGACCGTCCATAGTCCCGCTAGAGCTGACACGAGCGCATGCCACGAGGTTGGCCTGCTGCAAGAAACGACGAGGCTCTGTAGAAAAGCAGTGATCATTACATGTACGCTCGTTGGCGTTGCGTCCGCACAGCGCCCGGATTCTTTTGTTCTGGGCGATCTTAGACCCTGGACAGAAGGTCTGAGACACGTGGGGTGGGCGGTCGAATAAAGATGCCTGCGTGGAACTTACAGCTGCAGAAGCTGAACGACAACTAGGTTGTGTTTGTGTTACATGACGAGCTTACCACATCGCACGCAGGTATCCGAGAGTGGGAAGCCTATCTAGAAACAATAGCTCAGAGAGTTGTGTTAGGATGGCGAATTCTGGTTGTCTATTTTTGCAACAGACTCTGGACTAAAAAAATCAAGCAGAATTCTTCACCGTTCATCGTGCCATCTCATAAGGCGGCTACTCAGCTTACACAACATGGACGGCAAGGTAAGGTAGTAAATCAAAGTTTCTGATCACAGGTGCCATATGCAGCTCTGACATGAGCCCATAGGGCAAAACTGTAAGGTGGTAGGATGGCAGTGGTGAGCTTGGAGGTCCGAAACGATCATGGCATACCCCGCGCAGGGCAGACGCGCAGTACGTGTAACGGTTAGTGGAGAGATACAAGGTTGCCCTATATTGGCGCAGGGATTTGTGACGTCTAGAAGTCGCGGTGACGGGTGAAAAAGCAACTTTTACTGTCGTAGAGAATTGGCGGTCGAGCTGTCAGACTTTTCGCCTCGCCTGCCATGTGAGCATCCGAATGCAAAAAGCAAGAATACAGTCGTTGAACGACTTTCTAATTGAGCAAATGCAACTCGGTGGCCATCCGACGATAGTGGGTCGGTCTGGTCTTGGCTTCAACTCCACTTGCCATTTCCAGGTCAGAGTACTTCATGCTTGGCTATTTTTGCAGTAGAGGCACAATGATGAAACATGATA